GGTGACTTGATATGATGGATAACGGTCATATTTTTCATTTTAATGAAGAAATAATAAGAATCAAACAGGGACTTAATTAACAAATATGAGTTATAAGCAATAGTCCACCTATTATCTAAATATTCATTTCTAACTTTGACCTCTTTTGTTGTCATTAGATCTTTGATACATCTGATAACTATTTGACCTATTATAGCTATCAACATCATCTTTTGAAAATTCATATTTCCACTTATTACTGCATTCATAGATGTGATTTCAGGATTCAAATGCGACAAGGACCTTGCATCATACTTTTAATGAAAATTGAATAAAGATAGGGAGATAATTTAGCATCCTTTCGTAAAATTAATCAACGAGGCAATTGTAGCAGTCCTATTTTTCAAACTCGAAGGCATATATATGCAGCAATAGATCCATATATTTTTTCTTGAGTGGATCATTATTTAATTCCTCGAGCTCTGTTCTAAAAACACGAACCATTAAATGAGGTCTATTTTGAGGCTCATCTGTAGTTGTTCCTTAATTTCTTGTCAATTCAAATAACAAGTAATAGCAAAAATATATCTAATTTTATTAAATTTTTGTATCAAAGACATGGCATCTAAATATATTTTGGGTCTGTTATGTAGAGATTATGAGAATTGATTTTTTTTATCATTAGAAAGAAAAGTGGATCCCACCGATGAGTGAACAAGTAAAAAATAATGACTGAAATAGTGAAATAACGATCAAAAATTGATTTTTTAGATAAAAAATTGCTACCAAACGGGGGCTTTTCATTTATCTATGCGACTATCAACAAAAGATCTACCCAAGAAAATTACAATACCTATTTTAATTTTTTTCTCCAATTTCATGGCTATCAATGATATCTTGATCTAATTCAGCTCATAACTGTTTTTGGTAATGTCGCAAATAACCCAATCTAAGTGTGTGTTTGAGCCACGTTATTTTGGGAGAATTTAATTTGGAATAGTAGATTAATGGAGAATATGTGGTTAAAAAATAAAGAAAATTTTGGATTTACGTGCAATATTATTTTATTAAAAAATGTGTGGTTGAAATGATATCAAATTACTATTTAATAATGTATTTTTTTGAAAGAATGCGGCTCAAAAAAGGCCAAAATGTCTTTATTTTGTCATATATATCTACTACATATTGTTAAAAAAATTCTTCCAGCATGCAATATTATTGAATTAGTTGAGGGTATAATTTTGAATGTATAATAATAATATTAGAGTATTTTCAAAAAACTCTTTAAATATGAGATGCTTTCTATTTTAAAAAGTCAACACTTAAAATCATGCTCCAAGAGAAACTCTTTAAATTAACATTTTAAATTATTTCAATTTTTAATGTAAGAAAATAATATAATAATTTAGAGAAAAGCTAGTTAAAATAAAAGATACAAAAAATAATAAATATTTTTTAGGAGTAGTATAATTAAGTATTAAATATAAAGAGTCTGTTAGAGTACTTCAAAAATTTACTCAGTTTATAGATACTTTCTAAATAATAGAATATTCTTTTTAAAAATAGAGAATTTCTTGGAGATATTCTTATCTACATAAAATTGAGGGTAATTAGCATAAAACGTCCTTAGATTTTAATATTATTGTGCAAAACGTCCATTTTCGACATTTTCACCCCTACCTTCACTATTCATTGCAGAAAATCATCCATTTCATCCAATTTCTCATGTTAAATGACAAATATACCTCCTATTTAAAAAAAAGAAAAGAAAAAGAAAACTTGAATAACAAATTGTAATCATACTCTCAAACCTTTTTAAAAAGTGCGAATAAGTCCATGTAAATTATTAAAATGGTAATTATTACAAAACGTCCATACATTTTAATATTATTGTGCAAAATGTCTCTGTCTTTTCATTTTTTGACATTTCCACCATTATTTTTACATTTTATTTTGAAAATCATCATTCTCATCCGTTTCCCAATTAAAAGTTGTAAACTAACAAATATACCATTTCTTTTTAAACAAAATAAAATAAAGAAAAGAAAAATGAAGAAAAAATTGTAACTATACTCCAATATTTTTCAAAAAAGTACAAATAAATTATATTTTATCAATTTCTTTTTTAATTATTTATTGAAATTTATTTGTAACTTTTGAAAATTTTGGGAGAATAGTTATAATTTATTCTTTAATTTTCTTTTCTTTATTTTTATTTTGCTTAAAAAAGGAGGGAATAATTGTTATTTTATAGCTTTTAAATGAGAAATTGATGAAAATAATTAATTTCAAAATAAAATGTGAAAATAAAGATGAAAATGTCAAAAAATGAAAGGTATGGATATTTTGCACAATAATATTGAAAAATAAGAACATTTTGTGCTAATTACCCTTTTAATAATTTATTTAGACTTATTCGAGCTTTTTAAAAAGTTTGAGAGCATGATTGCAATTTGTTATTTAAATTTTCTTTCGTTTTTTGTTTTATTTAAATAAGAGGGTATATTTGTCATTTTACATGGAAAATTTAATGAAAATGATAATTTTCGAAATAAAATGTGAAAGTAGAGATAAAAATGCCAAAAAATAAAAGGTGATAACGTTTTACACAATAACATTGAAAGATAAAGACATTTTATGCTAATTACCCTAAAATCTATATTCTTAACGTTGTTGTTCTTCATAACTAAAGTACAAAACAAATAATGGAAGAAAGAAGGAAGGATAATTCAAAAAAGCACAAAACAACGATAATTTATTTTTTTTGGAACCGGATTGTAACCTCGCTAATCAAAAGGTTCGAATCCGATTAAAATACTTAGTCTACTAGATACTCCACATAATACTTTTTAATGGGTAAAATACTTTCACGTGTTATAAACTAGAGAGAAACAAAATAAACTTATATATTTTATTAAGAATCAAAGTCCAATATTTATACGCAAGAATTAAGACTACAAGAGATATAATGATAATGATGATTAGGGCTGCAGGTGTATAAAGTCACTCATAAATACTACTATATTTACAGCACTTCCTATTGAATGACTATTCACATAATAACTATCTCATTGAAATGTTATTTGCAAAAATTAGATGGGACAAAAATGTTAACAAATGAAAGAAAATGTATAAATAATCTAGAGTAATAAAATGATGCTTTGTTAAAACTTTGTCAAGAAAATTTAATGAAACAAACTTGTTGATTACAATAATCATAATGACTAGAACTACATGAGTTATAAAATTATTCATAAATACTACTATATTTATAACATCAAATAAAAATTTAGAACTAAAAATTTGTTGGTCAAATAAATAAATAAAAATAATAAATGGATAATTGTAGTAGAGGCTCCAAACCTTTAAAACATTAACAGACTTTTCCCAAATATTTAATTTATTGCAATCGTCACCTCAAACCTTTCGAAACATTGCGGCGAGACCCTTTTGGATGGTTTTCATCCAAATGTCCGTTAGTTCACTATGAAACTTGACTTTGACCATATTTTAATAATTTTGAAAGGGTAAAATAGTAATTTTCCATTTATTACATTAAAATAAGTTAGAAATTAAATTAGAAAAAAAAAATAAGAAACAAGAAATTATAAAAAAAAAAAAAAAAAACCAATCGTCTTCTTCCTCTCACCCCACCCCCACTTCCACCTCAAACCCAAAATCAATTACTCGACCACCGTCACCACTACCACTACCGCCACCTCCACCTCCACCTCCACCTCCACCTCCATCCCCAAACAAAAAAAAAAAATCCAAATCAAAATGTATCCCACATAAATATGAACCCTAAAAAACACAATTTGACTAGAGAAAAAAAATATAAATAAATAAATCCGGGCATGGAATCTAGTTAATAAACCGAAAATAAGCAATTTTTAAATCAATTGGAGCTGCAAATTGCAACCAATTTGAGAGCTGAAAATGCTAAAGGGCAAAAAAGAATGACTTTTGAAGCTCTTACTCTTCCAATCTCATCAACATTGATGAGTACAAACTCATTTCTGTTGTGTGAACCAGCCAGATGCCTTCTTTTGGTATCCATTTGAAGAAAACCTTAAAACACTCTCCTTTTGCTCACTCACATAGAGACACACGATTACAGTACCTTCACAATCGAGAAAGAGAGAGCAAAAATAAAAATAACTCAATGCCCATTTGCACACGTCAAAGAAGAAAGAAAATGAACGGCCACTTCGATTTCCTTGTCTTCTTAATGGAGATGAGATGCGAGATGGTACCCCATCAACATTGATGAGTACAAACTCATTTCTGTTGTGTGAACCAGCCAGATGCCTTCTTTTGGTATCCATTTGAAGAAAACCTTAAAACACTCTCCTTTTGCTCACTCACATAGAGACACACGATTACAGTACCTTCACAATCGAGAAAGAGAGAGCAAAAATAAAAATAACTCAATGCCCATTTGCACACGTCAAAGAAGAAAGAAAATGAACGGCCACTTCGATTTCCTTGTCTTCTTAATGGAGATGAGATGCGAGATGGTACCCCACACATTTTGATTTAGGTAATTTCCCTAGTGGGTTATATTTTGGTTTCTTTGTCTTCATATTTTTGTTTGTTACATTTTGATATGGGTTTTTATGGCGGGGGATGGGGGGGGGTGTG